TTGAAGTTCTTCTATCCATGGAGGATCTTTCGTGTAGGTCTTATATTCACATTAAGGTTTTTTAAGGGTTTTCTAAAAACATAGGATCTCTTGCCGGGGTCTTTTAGACAGACCTCGCTCTGTCCATAGAATACCATTTGCTAGTTTTCGGTACATCCTTTTGAACAACTTTATGTGAAATGGAACCTTCTGAAGATCTGTTATCCACAGAAGATATATGGAAGGACATCTAGGGATAGAATGTTGTTAGGATATCTTCTTTCTACAAATGGTCTATTGCTTTGTCGTTCGCAGACCTTGAGATGCATTTCTTTAAATATAAACTATGTTCGAAACTTCCTCCATTTAAATGTGGTTTTATTTACACTAAATATTTTAAGGAATGTTTACTTTAGATTACCCTAAATTACGTATCGAATTTCTGTCTCAATTCAGTTCCCTAGCCGATAAAACAAACAAACAAACTGCTCTAATTTAAACCTAAATACAGTTCAAAGGTAAAGCAAACAACACATTATGTGGTTAATGCTCCTAAAAAATTCTACCTGGATCTAATTACACCCCCTCACACACACACACTCACACAGACCGATCGCTGTTGTCATTCGTCATTTCAGTGAACGAAGCGAGTGACTAAGCCGCTGGCAGTGAGAAGGAGGGAAGACGACCAGCAACAGGAAATTTTAGAATATTCTTCTGACACTCCAAACACACAATGGTAGCCCATATATTTTCAGACGAGAAGACACATAAAAGCCTCCAAAGAAGGAGAACACCAAAAGGAATTGAAAAATAAACAGCACACAAACAAAATCCGAGAAGAATAAATCCTTTGTGTTTCCATTAAAAATTGAAATAAATGTCTGTTTTTGGTTTTCCACAGAATTTCTTTGTAAACCACACAACACAACAATACCCATTGTCCTCGGGTTCATTCTGGCGAACGATTATGGGGGGTTGAAGACAGTTCAGTTAGTTTTGCGCAATAAATCGAATGGGAATAACGTCCGTTTTATGTAATGGTCATATTTCACGCTTGTTCCAGTCGAATGATTTTGGGTCAAAATCTGCCTGATTCGGTTACACTCATTGGTTTTATTTATCGACTATTAAATCTGGGTTCAATTTGGTATTTTGGGTTACTTTACAGCTTAGATTGTCCTATAATATTTTAATCTTAAAATTAGGTGCGAACAACTTTGATGATCTTAATCTTAAGGGGGCAAATACAGGGTGAGATAAAAGAAAATGCCATAGTTTTTACATTTTTTTTTAATTTTATTGAATGAAAGCAAAAATGTCGGAAATAACATCAAATTTTAGAATAAGTTTCAATTTGTTCGAATTGGTCGCCCTTGGCTCTAATTATGGTCTTCAAACGGCCAATGAAACCGTCACATGCTGCCCGAATGTTGCTCTGCGGTATTTTGACCCATTCCCGGCGAAGCGCTTCCTTGAGGTGATCGACACTTTGGTATTTTTAGTACCAACCTTGCTTTCGAAAATACTCCAGACACAATAGTCCAATGGATTGGTATCAGATTTTGGTGGCCCTTGTGCGCTGGAAATGAAGCGAGGAACCTCATTTTGTAACCATTCTTGGGTGGCGCGTGCTGAGTCCCGTGGGAACGTCCAAGGTCTGCGGCCAAAATATTTCCGCGATAATATTTGACAATTTATTAAATTAAATTTATTCTGATACCACGTTCGATTAATACGAGCGGAGAGGTTGTTATGGCGGCCTACACCATCACCATGGCTGACGCTTGAGCTCTGGTGGCCAACCGAAGGTGCACATTTTCAGCTGACCTCTTTGGCAAGTAAACACAATCATTTTGTTTGTTTACAAACTGCTGGAAAACGAATGTTTTCTCATCGGAGACGGAGAAAACCAAGTTCGACCAAGTGAAGCAACTCTTTAGCTCTTTTGAGTCTATTTTCTATTGTCTTTCTATTGCGGTGTAAGTTCTTGCACTTTTTGGAATTTCAATGGCTTTACCCCGAACTCATTTTTTAATATTTGCCAAATGGAATATTGCGATATCTTCAGCTCAGGAGCCATTTTTCAGCCACTGCAACTCGGGTTTCGATCAAGTTGCTTCTTTACTTTTCGAAACATTTCTGCTGATGTTGCTGTTTTCTTCCGTCCACTTGCTTGATGTCGAGCTACGGGCCTGAAATCCATCAGTAATAACCCTTTTTCTGGAAAATTCTCACCAAAATGCTTATGTAACAGCTGTCGGACGAGTGGCTTAGAAATGCAGCAGTCTAAAATTGTTACTAGATGGGATTGTCTGATAAATATCGCCTCCACACCAGATCTTGTGTTGGTAGTCATATTGGGATGTGCGAAGACAGTCAGTTTCTTATTTCACATTTTAATAATTATTCAAAATGTTGACCCTTTTTGGGGTAGGTACTTGATAGAGTGGACCGATATTGTCCATTTTCGCACCTGACCTAGCACTGATACAAATATTAGGATTTACAAAATTTAAATTAAATTGTCTGATCCTTTCTTGTTCTATGAGCTAAATTATTTTTTATGAACATTTTGATCTTTTGTGGGGTAGGTACCAGAAGGAGTGGAACCATTTTGCCCATCTCTAAAATCCATCTATGTTTGACGATAATATTACAATGTACCACTTTGGACCAAATCGGATACTGCCTTCGAGATTTATCGTGCGCCCGAGCCAAACAGACGGGCGGACATCGCTAGATCGACCCTAAATGCCTGAAACGGTTTTGGTCCAAAGAGACCTGCGGACTAAAAACGTTATTTCGATGTGGCACGATTTGGCCGTATTAAATGATAAATACCAACTCTTGCCATATGACTGAGATTTAAAAATATCCCTTGGGTGACGTACTTGAGCGTTAACATTTTTACCAAAATAATCCGTGTCTCGTTATCAGTAATATTACTATGCCTTAAATTCTCGGATTCTAAGAAGATTTTTTCCACAAATTTAACAGAATGTGAAAAAGGAGAAGCTTTCCCTCTTTGTTTAGGTTACTTTGCGATGCAAACTTTAAAACGCCGATGCACGTTACTTGGTACCTCATCGAAATAATCCATTTCAGAACATTTAGAGTCGATCTAGCGATATCCGGTCGTCCGCCCGTCTGACTGGCTGGCGCACACGATAATTCTCGAAGGGAATATCCGATTTGGTCCGAACTTGGCACCTCGTAATATTACTGTTTAATTTAGATGGATTTCGGAGATGGGCAATATCGGTCCACTACTTCTGGTATCTTCACCACAAAAGGTTGCAATTTTCAAAAAAACAAAAACAAAATGACTGGACTGAAAGCGAAAGGTTAATCCGATTTTGCTTTAAATTTGCAAATCCTTTTATTTGCATCGGTGCTAGGTCAGTGCGAAAATGGGCAATATCGGTACTACATCAAGTACCCACCAAGAGTCAAAATTTTTAATAATTATAACTGTAAGAAAATGTGATGCAATAGACCCGTTGTCTTGAAATAACACACACCACAATATTTTTACTGACCCACGGTTTGGTGTGAAGATGGGATATATTGGCCCACTCCTTCTGGTACCCCTCCAGGAGGGGTCAGCATTTTGAGTATGCATGAAGTCCTTAAAACGCGAAATTAACATCCGATTCGAGACTTGGAACATCTCAATATTTCCATCATCACAAGATCTGTTATAAAGCTCGTAGAGATCGAACCATTCCTTCTGGTACCTTCCCCACAAAGGTCAAAGTTTTTAATAACAAAAACGATTATAAAATGCGAAATAAGCATCCGTTTCTCTTCATATTTTACACATCCTATTATTTCTAGCCACATTTTTCGACGGAATTGTCTGATAATCCACACAAGGAGTTTCTTGTGGGTACTTTATCCCTTGAAAGAGAATTGTCTATATAGGTCCACGATATCGTATAGCTCCCATATAACGGTACCCCCCGATATTCTGTATTTTGATGATTTTACCCACATTTTTTAACGGAATTGTCTGAAAATCCACACAAGGAATACCTTGTGGGTACTTTATCCCTTGGAAGAGAAATATCTATATAGGTCCACGATATCGTATAGCCCCCATATAATGGTACCCCCCGATATTCGGTATTTTGATGATTTTACCCACACTTTTCAACGGAATTGTCTGAAAATCCACATTCATCCACATTCATTGTGAGTACTTTATCGCTTGAAAGAGAATTATCTATATAGGTCCTCGATATCGTTAGCCCCCCATATAACGGTACCTCCGATATTCGGCATTTTCATGATTTTAGTTACATTTTTCAACGAAATTGTCTGAAATTGTACACAATGGGTTCATTGTGAGCAGTTTACCCCATGACAGAGAATATAGGTTAACGATGTCGCATATCCCCCATATAACGGTACCCCCGATATTCGGTATTTTCATGATTTTAGCCATATTTTCCTATGGTATTTTCTGAAAATCCACACAAGGAGTTCTTTGTGAGCACTTTAACCCCTGAAAGATAATTGTATGTATAGGTTCCCATATATCGGCAGCTTCCGATATTCGATATTTTAAAGATTTTAACAGAATTTTTAATGGATTTTATTTTTTGAAAATTTTCTAATTCGTTCCAAATGGTGGAGGGTATTCAAATTCGGCCCGGCCGAACTTACTGCTTTTTTACTTGTTTTATCTCGCCCTGTATACAAAGGAGTCCCCCCACACAAAACAAACGAGTGAAGAGTAGACTCCGTAAAAAACTCCTACTCTTTCAGCAATCCTTCTCGCGAGCAAGTTTCGCTCCCAAGTGAAAATGAACAAATCTTACCTCTGGTGTATAAAGAATTTATCTATAACTTCTTCATTGTATTTTTCTTAGAAATATAAATCCAAATGGCATAAGTTTTTATACATCACGATAGATTCTGGAGATTAAGATTAAAACCCAAATCAGTCATCTTCATAATAGCCTAAATTAATTTTTCTAATTTTAATTTTTTTTTCTATATTTGTATATTTTCAGATAAAAATAATAGAAAAGCACCACAATTAAAAGGTAACTCTTGTTTAGATTTTGTATTGTTATCATTGTTCGTAAACAAATTTTCAAATTAAAAAAATAAATAAATAAATAAATAAATAAATAAATAAATAAGATCTTTACCTTATTTATTGTATTTGTTATTGCCTACATATCCAAGGACTCCAGGAAATCTTAAATTTTCACATTTTTACTAAGCTTATTCTCAGTGGAATTTCCTTACATTAATTTCCTTTCAATTAAAAGACAAGTTTCTCTAAAACATTCCCACATCCTAAATTCGAAATACTTCTTATTTATTATTAGAACATCAATACGTTTTCTTTACTTCAATACGAGTTATTTTCAAATTCATTTCTTTTCTCAATCTTTCTCTGTCCGAATATATGTACGTTGTCAAATTCAGGTTTAATCATTCAGGTCAATGTACAAATTCATTCATTTCGGCTAATTTCGCTTCTCATCTTTATCGCTTTGTATGTGCGTTCAGGTGGAATGGACAAATTTCATCTCCAGTCACGTACGTCATTTGCGATAATGTTAAATCAGGCTGTTTGGCTACTGTTTCTTTGATTTATTAAAGAATTAATGAGAAATGGGGTGAACGGTCCTTAAAAAAATATTAAAAAATCCTCGACTATTGCTCTTTAAATCCTTGAAGAAATTTATTTTTATATTTAAGTGATAAAAAATTATATTTAAAAATCCATTATTATAGCTCTTAAAAAATCCTATATAAAAATCCACGATTCTAGCTTGCTTCTTCTCTCCTTGAAAAATTTATTTTTTTTTTAATTCACGTTTATAGATATTTACGTCCTTGAAAAATGATTATAGCTCTCCACGTCGGGGAAAAGATATAGTTAAAAATCCAGGGATAAAAAAGTCTTCAAAAAGCCTCATAATCGTTTACCAATTACGATATTAGAAAAAATTATTCCACAATGACCCACATCCAATTTATCTGTCCAAAACTATTTCAAAGTCTAAAATTTCAACTCTATCCCTCCACTCAATGCCAAATCTAGTAATATTTAGTCTACAATCTACATCACTCCATTCTAAACACCAACAGTAATCAAAAATTATGGTAGGCATTTGTAAAACCACCACCAGATCTCAACCCCAGATACCAACAGAGACCTCAATATTAAATTTCATGATTCCAGCTCTATCCCTAAACCCAATACCAGTATTATTTTTCGTACCAATATAAGACATTTCCAAAACCACAACCAAATCTTAAACACAGATTTTAACAGTTATCTGAATAGCAAATTTCAGAATCTTATCTATATCCCTTCACCCAATACCAAATATAATACCATTCAGTACTTTTCGTTAATTTATAGTACACATTTCTGAAACCACCTCTATATCCCAATTAGAGATACCAACAGAGAACTTAATATCAAGTACACATTTCTAACACCACCGTCATATCTTAACCACAGATACCAACAGTGACAATTACATCAAATTTCAAGATTGCAGCCCTCTCCCATCACCCAATACCAAATTTAGTACTATCTAGTACTTTTCGTACAGTTTAAATAATCAATTCCATATTTCAATTCCAGATATCAACAGAGACCTCAGAATTAAATACCGTGATTCCAGCTATATCCCTTCACTTAATACCAAATATAGTACCATTTAGTACTTTTCGTACAAATATAGGATGCATTTTTAAAATCACCTCCATATCATTACCACAGACACCCCCAGTGACATCTTTATAAAATTTTAGGATTTCAGCCCTATTCCTTCACACAATACCCAATTTAGTACTTTTCGAACAATAATAGAGCACATTTCCAAAACCAACTCCATATCTTTATCCCAGATACCAACGGAGACCATAATATCAAATTCCGGGATTCCAGCTCTATTCCTTAACTCAATACCATATATTGAACCATTTAGTATTTTTTGTACAATTATAGTACACATTTCCAAAACCACCTCCATATCGTGACCAAAGACACCAAGAGTGACATCTATATCAAATTTCAGAATTTAATCTCTATACCTTCACCCAATTCCAAGAATTTACTATTTAGTACTTTTCGCACAAATATGGGACGCATTTTCAAAACCACCACCATATCTCAATTCTAGATACCAACAGAGACCTCAATATCAAATTTGTGGATTCCAGCACTTTCCCTTCACCCAATGTCAAATTTATGCACTTCCATACCACCGTTATCTGGTATCTGAAACACAGATACCATCAGTAATCTAAATATCAAATTTCACAATCTTATCTCTATCCCTTCACCCTATATCAAATACAGTACCATTTAATCTCATATACAGATACCATCGGCAATCTAAATATCAAATTTCAACATTTTATCTCTATCCCGTACAATTTCGTAACCAAATTAAGCTTCAAATTTCAAGTTTTTAGCTCTATCCGTTCACATAATCCCAAATGATACCGATTTTGAAGCTTAGTGTCATTTTGGAACTTTTCGTAACCTGAGAATTCGAATTTACAAAAACCCTTTTGGTACATCAATCCTGCACTCTATCAGTGACTCTCATTCCAAATTTTAGAATTCTAGCTCATTCTGTTTGTCCGATACAAAGTGTTCAATTTTTAGTAATTTTCGTACCATTTTATCCCTATCACATGCCAACCTACCAAGACTGACCCTTGTGCAAAATTTCATGATTCTTGCTTCATGTGATTCGTTATTTTCAGTTATTTCACCACTCTTTTTATACCCTTAGCCATATGGCTAGAGAGGGCATATATCATTCGATACGATCAAAACATGCCTCATCGAAATAACGATTTTTGACACTAGGTCTCATTGGACCAAATCCGTTTCAGGAAATATAAGAGTTGATCTAGCGGTGTCCGTCTGTCTAGCTGGCTGGCTGGTCCAAACTTGGCACATCGTAATATTATTATAAAACTTAGATCGACTTCGGAGATGGGCAATATCGGTCCGCCCCTTCCTCACAAAAGGTCGACAGTTTCAAAAAACATATTTCACTGCACAGAGAGGAAAGGATAATCAGATTTTGCTCCAACTTTGCAAATCGTAATTATTGCTTCAGTCCTAGGTCAGATGCGAAAATGGACAATATCGGTCCACTCCATCAAGTACCTCCCCCCCCAAAATGTCAAAATTTTAAATAATTACAACTCTTATAAACTGTGATGTAGGAGTCCGATTATCTTCAAATTACACACATCTCAATATTTTTACTAACCCAAGGTCTAGTATGAAGATGGAACATATCGGTCCACTCCTTCTGGTACCTCCCCCAAAAAAAGTTTAAATTTTCAAAAAAAAAAAAAAAAAAATATATATATATATATTTTTCTGCAGAGAAAGAAAGGCGAAAACTCGATTTTGCTCCAACTTTGCAAATCCTAATATTTGCATCAGTTCTAGGTCAGGTGCAAAAAATGGATAATATCGGCCCACTCCATCAAGTACCTCCGCCACAAAGGGTCAAAATTTTAAGTAACTATAACTCTTATTAAATGTGATGTAGGAGTCTTATTGTCTCCAAATTACCTGTGAAATTACAATACTTTTATTTATCCAAGGTCTAGTGTGAAGATGGAATATATCGGTTTACTCATTCTGGTACCTCCCCCACAAAAGGACAATGTTATGAATAACAAAAATTATCATAAAATTCAAAATAGGCATCCTGTCCTCGTCATATTTCACACATCACAAAATTTTTATTAACCCAAGATCTTTTTCCTTCTGGTACCTCCCCACATAGGGTCAAAATTTTGACCCCTTCGATTATAAAATCCGAAATAAGCATCCGGTTCTCTTCATATTTCACACATCATAAAATTTTTAGTAAACCAAGATCTTCTTCCTACTGGTACCTCCCCCACATTGGGTCAAAATTTTGAATTTCCATAAAGCTCATAAAATGCGAAATTAACATTCGATTCCATTCAGACGTGGTACATCTCAATATTTCCATCAACACAAGATTTGTTAAAAACATGAAAAAAATAGAATACTTCGGTCGACTACATCTAGTACCTCAGGCACATTTAACCATTTTCTAAAAATTATCACATATCTCATATAAATTGAGATGTGGCAGAAGTGGCACGTCGCAATATTTATATCGAATTTATTTAGGTCCGATACGAAATTGACAATAATGGCCCATTTCGTTGGAACCTACTCCATAGAGGGTCAGAAATTTGAATAAACAAAACAGAAGTCAAAATATATTTAAATAATCGAACATTGGCTGAGGGTATACATGTGTCGGCCATATCGACTGATACAAGTTAATTATGTATAGATTTATTCAGGAACAAAAAAGGTTTTTAAAAATTGGCATTCGAATTGACACAAATTTATCAAAGAAGAACTTGTTCCTTGAAAGAATTTAAAGCAAAGTATTTAAATACAAAGTGCTCTCCCAACATTCTTGACAAAAATCTACAATAATAGCATAACAGAGTTTTCTTGAATAATTTTCTTAAAAAAAATCTACAACTCAAATTTAAATTGTATATAAATTTAAATAACACATTCTGCTATCTGAAAATCTCATTACACACGTTAATAACTTGTTTGTTCATGTTATCTCCTGTACCAATACTCAAACATTGAGCTATCTCTTCGTTGTTGTTGTTGCTGCATTGTTTAACGAGTTTTATGAATATCTAATGCACTCACTCACTCGACTTGCATAGCGACCGGCATACATATAATCTTCGGAAGACTGGTGAACTTTAAACGAGTATATTATGCAGATCGCGCCAAGGCGTCTTCAGACATTTGTGCATAATAATGATAATACATACATATATATGTATGTCAGTCACTCACTCACTCGCTCACATGACAGTAGCTGCCGGCTCAAGAAGCTATGTTGGCTTTGCCGGCAAAAAATGAAGAAACTAATTTGACGACTGCGTGACATTTGTTTCCGTTTAAACGCACACTTATGAACACAAATGCCCAGCAGTTTTACATTTAACGGTCAGAGGCTTCTTTTTTTCTTTT